GGGCATCGGAGTACAGATCGCGTCTAGCTGCCCTCTCTCGCCCTCTCTCGCCCTCTCTCGCCCTCTCTCGCCCTCTCTCGCCCTCTCTCGCGCCCTCTCTCCCCCACCTTCCTTTGTAGCGTGCGCCATTGACATATCGCTACAGCGACTCAACACAAATATACACGGATTAAGGCGCTCACACAGAGGCAGAGCGCGGAGTCCGGAGAGCGAGCGGCGTGTGGTGGCCGGACCGCGGACGAGAGAGCCGGCGACACAAATTCTCACAAAACGTATAGTGAAGTAGTTTATACGGCTATGCTGCAAATCGTGCAACGTGGGCGGCGAGGGCCACTGAGCTCTGAGGGGGTGTGTCATGTGTCAACATGGCCACTTCGTTTTCGTTTGAGACGCTTGAGACGGACCAGAGAGACCGCAGAGACGGGGAGCTCCGTGTCGGCGTTGCCCTCCCCCTCCCGGCGCCCTCGCTCCCTGCGAAAAGGCAGAAGCTCCTAGTATGGGAGGTCATCTGCCTACCGCGAGAGCGACCCAACTCGTCGACATCGTCCGATGGTTGTTTGTGCCTCAAAGTCAGCCTTCGGAGGCTATCGTGGGATCGAGCCGGCAGTAGCCGTGACATGTGGGTTTCTCGATTTCTGTTTTCGACTCTCTATTCGCGCCGTACGCAGTTTTCGAGGGCAGAGGACGCGTTTGGCGGCCGGTGTACAACGCGGTCAACGACGTCTCCCTCGACGCTCGAGTAGTGACGGGACTTGCGGCTGCTGCCCGCCCTCCAACGACGCTAGCAACGCGCGAGCCCTGAATGGCTGGACCTTCTTCACAGCGTCGCCGTGCCTGCCGCCTTCGCCACCGGGCCCTCCGGCGATTTCGCCACCGCCCCCGACGCCTCCGCCTGCAGTCGAGCCTTGCGAGATCGGCTCGCCGTTGTACTGCAGCGCCAACCGGGTTTCGAATGCGGACTTCAAGACGGTCGACGGCAGCAACCCGACGACCATCGAAGAGTGCGCGGCACTCTTCCTCGCCAACACGCCCGCCTCATGCGGCACCGACCTCGTCATGAAGGCAAGTGACGGGACTTGCGGCTGCTGCCCGCCCTCCAACGACGCTAGCAACGCGCGAGCCCTGAATGGCTGGACCCTCTTCACAGCGTCGCCGTGCCTGCCGCCTTCGCCACCGGGCCCTCCGGCGCCAATCCCACCCTCCCCTCTCCCTCCGGCGATTTCGCCCCCGCCCACGCCGTTTCCGCCGGCAACACCGCCACCGCCGGCCGCCGGGAGCTGCGACAGAAAAACATGCAGAGGCGCGGTTGTCGTCGGATCAAAGGGTTGGAAGGGAGGGTCCAAAACCGTCAACTGCGGCTTCGACTGCAAAAACTGCCGCTTGATGAGCCAGCCAGCTGCAAGTGGTCCATCTCACCCATTTTGGGACGTCAGAATCCAGTGTCGATCGAATACGTGTATCGACAGGATGAGAATCACCACCGGTGGGGGGAGAACGACAATGTTCAGGCCTTGCGAGGGAACATCAGGCCGCGACGGCGGCAGCAGCGGACACCAATGCGGCGGCCAAAACGCCTGGGGGCAAAACATGTGCGTGTACTGCGACGGCGACGAGGACAACATTCACGGTCGCGTGTGCCAGGACGAATACGCTGTTACCGATTCGGGGTATTCCGAATAAGGAGGCGGACCAGTCCAGCGGTACACGCTCGCGCATGCTCCACTCGCAGTCACCGCGCCGCTGGTGCGGACATCCTCTCATGCTATAACGGGGATTCCGGCGCCCAACGTGATTCGCGGATCGGCATCTACCGGCCCAGCCGTGGGATGGGGAGGGAGGGGGGAGGGAGGGGGGAGGGAGGGGGGAGGGAGGGGGTCGATGCGAAACTGTTGCACTGTTGCACTGGGAGAGGGTCGGTTCCGCACGGTATGGGCTCGATCGTCTCGCCCTCCCTCCCTGTTGTTGTCGCATTGCCGCGCACGTCGAGCCGCGCCGGCCGCGACGCGGGGCGTTAGTGCCAGTGCGCCAGTAAAATTCTTAAAATCTCAAAAACAAAGAAGAAGGGAGAACAATTCTCTCCGCAGAAAGGCTCGAGTATCAAAAAAGAATTCAAGCATCGCTGTCTCGCCGGTCGCCGGTCTGCCCAGGCCGACATGGACTCGCAGCCCCTCAATCCGAATATCGCAGAGATCGCTCGCAGTGGCCGCTCGTCGTGCAAGAAGTGCAAGCTCACGATTGGCGACAAGACTCTTCGTGTCGGCAAGCAGTACGAAAACGGCGACCGCGTCATGACGACGTGGTATCACCCGGCGTGCTGGCCGGTGCCGAAGAAGCTGGCTTCGCTCGCGGCGCGCGCTCCTTCTCTTCCTCCCTCTCCTCCTCCGCCGCCGCCGCCATTGCTGCCTCCGCCCCGCCCTCGCTGCTCGATCTTTCCACCGACCTGCTCGCTTGCGATCATTTCGCAGGATGTCGAGAACTGGCACAGCCTCTCCGACGCGCACAAGCAGCTACTCATCGACCGTGCACCCAATCTGCCTACCTGCGCCTCACCTGGGTCCTCCACACCCAGCTCCTCGGCGCTGGCCACCGCCACTCTCGCCGACTTTGTGACGCTGACGCAGCGCCTCGAGGCGGAGGGCGGCGTGGGTGGAGGCAGCTCGCTCGAGAAGCAGGCGATCGTCGAACGTCACTTCCGCAAACTCACGCATCCCCAGGACCGATACCTCACCGCGCGGCTGCTGCTGCCCGCCAAGGCGCGGGCAACCTCCTCCGGCCTCTCAGCTCGATCCCGGCTGAGCACCGGCGGAGCTCGTAGGGGCAGCACGACGACCGGACCTACTCGCTCAAGGACAAGTCGCTAATCTCGCACCTCGCCGCCGTGCTGCGCTGCTCCGAGGTCGCGATGGCGGCGCACCTCGAGAACAGCGACGACGTCGGGCTCAGCGCGCAGCACTTTTACGAGCGGTCGCCCGTGCTTCCGAGCCCGCCCCCGCCCCCGCTGCCCCTCGCCGCCGTCAACGACTGGCTCAACAAGCTCGCCCAGCCGTCCGCGATGACGCGGCTCCTGCTCGCCGAGATCGTCCCTCGCACGGCGCCCGAGCAGCTCAAGGTGCTCGTCCGGATCGTGCGGAAGGACCTGCGCCTCGGGGCGGGCGCAGCGACCATCCTGAAGGGCATCGGTGGCGAGGGCGCGTGGGCGAGGTTCAAGGCGCAGCCGCACGAGCTCGAAGCCATCTGTCAGCTGCAAGCCGGCACCAAGACCGCCTCCAAGACCGGCGGCGGCGGCGGCGGCGGCGGCGGCAAGGGCAAGGGCAAGGGCAAGGGAGTCGGCGGCGGCATGGTTGCGGCGGGGCGGCCGTGCAAGCCGCAGCTCGCGGGGCAGTGCAACTCGTTTGAGGTGCCCGTCAAGAAGTTCCCAACGGGCTTCTTCGTCGAGGCGCCGCCGCCACCTCTGGCGCCGCCCTCTCGCCCTCGCCTCCACCGACACCCGCCGCCACGCCGAGGCGTTGCGTATCGCCGACACCCGCCCTTGTCAGGTCACTCGAGGCCCTTGTCAGGACACCCGCCCTTGTCAGGTCACTCCACCGACACCCGCCCTTGTCAGGTCAAGTACGACGGCGAGCGGCTGCAAGTGCACATGACCCGCGACGGCGGCGTCGCCTTCTTCTCGCGCTCCCTCAAGGACGTGCCCGCCACCAAGGTGATCGGCCTCGAGGCGGCGCTGCGCAAGGCCTTCCCGCCCCTCTCGCCGGGAGGGCCTGCGCGTGAGGTGGTGCTCGACGGCGAGGTTGTGATGATGGCGGCCGACGGCACGGTGCTCGCCTTCGGCGCGCAGGGCGTGCACGAGCAGAAGAAGCACAAGGACGCGACCTGCTGCCTCGTCGTCTTCGACCTGCTCGCGCTGGACGGGGGAGCCCTCACCTCCGAGCCACTGCAGCGGCGCCGCCAGATCCTCGAGGCTGCCCTCGTGCCGCAGGAGCTCGCTCTTTCACCTAGTCGCTGGCTATCACTGCAGTCACGCCCAAGATGCATGGAGCGCTACCAAGGACTAGCAGGCGGGGTCTCACTCACATGCCCCCCTCCGCAGGAGAAGCAAGTTCGCCTCTCCGACTGCAAGCTCATGCGGACGAGCGCGGGCGTGGCAAGGGCGTTTGGCGAGGCGGACGCGCAGAATCTCGAGGGGCTGATGATCAAGGATGCGGCGGGGCCGTACGTGCCGAACGACCGCAAGGTCTGGCTCAAGATCAAGAAGGACTACCTCGGCGAGGCCGCCTGCGACGCGGCCGAGGTCGACATGGCCGACTCGGTGGACCTCGTCGTCCTCGGCGCCTTCTTCGGCACCGGCCAGAAGGCATCCCTCTACTCGAGCTTCCTGATGGGCTGCTTCGACGAGGAGGAGGACGCGTGGCGCGTGGTGTGCAAGCTCTCAAACGGCTTCTCGATGGCGCGCCTCGAGGAGCTCAAGGGCGCGCTCACGGGAGGCGACACGCCGCTCCTGCGCCGCCTCGACCCCACCGACGAGCTGCCGAGCTGGTATCCGCAGGAGGCAAAGGGAGGCAGCCGCCCCGACGCGGTCCTGCGGGCGGCCCCCTCCGACGAAGAGGGGTGCTTTGTGTGGGAGGTCAAGGGTGCCGCTTTCACCGAGGGCAACAAATCGACGGGCTCCGCCTTTTCCATCCGCTTCCCGCGCCTCGTCCGCGAGCGCGACGACAAGGAGGTGTCGGACGCGAGCACGGCGGAGTACATCCACGGCCTCATCAGCCTCAAGAAGGGCACCGTCATCGACCTCCCCTCGCTCGCGGGCGGCTCCGGCTGCGGCGGCGACGCGGGCGGCTCCGCGGCGGCCGCCGCAGCGGCTGGCGACGGTGAGCAGGAGGAGGAGGAGGACGACGACGACGAAGAGGTGCCCAGCTCGCCCGGCTCGCCCATCTCGCGCGCTCGCGCCGCCGCGGCCGGCGCCGGGCAGGCGAGCAAGGACCCGAGGCCGCTCTGCCGGTTCGGCTGGGACTGCTTCCGCAGGAACGCGCAGCACAAGGCGCAGTACCGCCACGACGAGGCGCCCGCCCTCGGCCGGGCGGCCGCGGGCGGGGCCAACGCGGGCGAGGCCAAGGTGGCGGGCAAGCGCAAGCGCGCCGCCAGCGACGAGGACGGCAGCGGCGGCGAAGGCCGCCGGCAGCGCACGGCGCACGACGAGGGCGGCGAGGGCGGCGAGGGCGGCGAGGGCGGGGCGGCGGACGAGTTCGAGGTCGAGTCCATCGACGAGGACGAGCCGGCGGACGACGAGGGCGCCCCGGCCGGGGAGCAGCAGGCCGGGCAGGTGGCGGCGAAGGGTGGCGGCGGCGGGGTTGGCCGGTGGGAGGTGATGCTCGGAAAGACGTTCAAGCCGTTCGTCGAGGCAATCTCGGACGAGATCGAGGAGGCGTGGCGGGCGGGGGAGGGGGAGGTTGAGGTGGAGCTGCGAGGCGAGCCGTACGTCGTCCGCTTCCGCGACATGGTCCAGGAGGCGAAGGGCGACTCGTCGCGCTGGCGCTCGGTGCAGCGCGTCATGTGACATCGAGAGAGCACAGCTGTGTCCTGCGGCGTGGCGCGTGTGCCGGCGAGAGTGGCGCGCCGGCCGCGGCCGCGGCAAGTTGCACGACGTCCCCCGCAGGCGAGCGTGGACAAGTTTGCGATGTGAGAATGCTGGGTAGTACAGTGGGCCCGGTATATACGTGAATGAGCCGTCCATTATGTATTTATAGAGCTAAAGTGAGACCAGAGAGAGAGACCGTATAGTTCCGCGAGAGAGACCAGAGAGAGTGAGACCGATTTTGCAGCGAGTCGGTCAGACTATCACGAGCGACACAGACACAGCGGGAAGCGCGTGTGTTCAAGACACCGCCGCGGAGAGCAGCTAGTACACAGTCCACATCGCGCCCACTGCTTGGCCACAGAACTCGGGCCGCGCGCCCGCAGAGTTGATGGGTCCGCTCTGTGGCACAGCAGATTACTGCGCGAGACGCAGCTCAAACCTGTGGCGGGAGGGGCGTGCACGCGTCAACACGCGGGCGCGAGGCGATCTTGCGTGTGCACGCGGCACCTTGAACCCGTGCGACCGCAGGCAAACCTTATGCGCCTCGATGTACTCTCCACAGGACTCCTCACCCTTCTCGACAACACACTCGTCGCGCGGCTTGCGTGTCTCCGGACAGGCACAGCAGATTTTCAGTTTCGGCTTCTCCTCTTCTGTGGCGGCCTGAGGAGAGGCGGCTTGCGACGACGCGGCTTCGCTCGGCTGCATGGAAAATGCGCGGAAAAAGAGAATCGCCGGCCCCGAGAGACTTATTATTAAACGTATTATTAAACGTATTGTGGCCCTTAGGTAGGTAGGGGGCTAGAGAACACACGCACATCCCTCCTTTCTCTCTCTCCGTCCGTAACTCCGAATCGCCTTCCTTTTCTTTCCCCCACCCGTTCTCTTTCTTCCGGGTATTCCCGAGAGAAGTTTACCGCGAAATGCCGGTTGTGTGCAATTCCTTAAAGAGAGGTTACATACAGGCTATAAGGGGGTTGTGTGACAGACACCACATCGCCGCCGCCACGAACCCCCCCCCTCGCCCCTGCGTAGGGGTCCCGTTTCGTATTGTGGTGTTTCTCCATTGCCACGTGTGTCGCTAGGAATTCCCATGCCGCTGGCCCGCTGCAAGCCGGCAACTCGTTGAGCACTTGAGCACAGTAAAGGACCTCCCTGTGGTCGTAGGGCTAGGGGATCCCAGCCCTCAACAGCCCCCCCAGCCGGCAGCGGCACGCGACTCGTCGTACTTGACGCGGCACCGTTGGAGTGCGTACATCTACTTTATGTGTTGATGTTTTACACACACCTCTCAAAACAGCAAACAAGCCATAACGCCACACACCTGTCCCAAGGCCTTCCGTGTCAACGTACTCCATGTAGGTCGAACCACGCGCACACACCACACACGCGCCACTCGTCCACACGCACAAGTACAAGCTCAGGGCCTCAGGCCAGTCGCGCCTCAGTGGGCTCTCAGCGTGAGCGCGGGGGGTCGCCGCGTAGGCTGCCGCAGTTCGGTCGACTGGCCGCCATACCCTGAGGAGGAGAAGTCGCCGTCCATGTCCTCGTCCACGTAGTGTGACCCGCCCTGCTCTAGCGGAGCAACCGGCCGCGCGGCGGCGACGGCCTGCATGAGCGCATCCATCGAATCGGAGCGATAGTGGTCCGCGTGCGCTGACTCGGAGGAAGGCTGCGACTCGGTGGAGGCAGTGCGCTCCGAGAGCTGGAGCGAGTCGTCGCTGCCACCACCCGGCGATGTGTGGGCCGCGCGCTCCAGCTGCCAGCCGGCCAGTGTGGAGTGCGACGACTGCATCCCCACCAACTGTAGCTGCGCTACGGCGTGTCCCCTGGATAGTGGCAACATCTGCGGTGACACAGACTGGCCTGCTGCTGATGGCGCCGCGGGCGTCGCGGGCGTCGTGGGCGAATGCGGGGCTGCGCCGCGGCCTCTGAGCGCCTGGGAGGCGTGAGATAACAACTGCACCTGCGGAGGCCGCGCTGCCCGCATCATGACCGGCGGACCCATCGAGGTCGGGGCGGCCTGGTTGCCCATGATATGCACAGGCGGGTTCGCCAGCTCCGAGGTCTGGCCCATGCCCGTCGGCGAGCCCACAGCGAGAAATTCTCCGCTCGACATGTCGCGCACGACTGGCACCATCGACATGACAGGCATCATCTGCACGTAGCCCAAGTTGCGACCGGAGGGGTCGTTTGCAGGCGAGGCCGGGCAGGGCGGCGGCGCGGCCGAGCCCGACATGGCAACCGCTTGCCGGTAGTGCGGCGACGACATCGCAGGCATGTGCATCTGCGGCGGCATCACGGACACCATCGGCACGGGGCGCGAGCCGCCGCCGTCCTGCGGCTGCGCGATGCCCATCCCGCTCGGGTAGGTCACCCCAGCTCTGCCAGCGCGGAGGGAGGCCGGGCCAGAAGCCGTCTGTCCGCCATTGTATCCATATGGCAGCGCATGCGCTTTGGCGATAGTGTTGAGCAGGCGGTTCGCCTTGTGCCGCACGTTCGAGTTTACGCTCGGCTTCACCGCCGCCTGCACCCGCCCCTTTACAATACTGGGATTGGGACCGTTGTCGAAGGATGGCGGACCTTTTCGCATCATGGGCATCTGGCGCCTGGGCGGAGACAGAGTGCCGCGCGAAAGGACAAAGAGGACCGTGCCCTGCATCGTCACCCATTCCGATGGCGGCGGCGTCAGGCCCGGGATGTGAGGCGCATCGTCCCGGAAGACAAGCAACCGCGGGCCCTCGCACTTGAGCGTCTGGTTGACGAGCCGGAAGGTGGTCGGCTCGCCTCCAGCTGCTCGGCTCCGCGCAGCCGGCTCGAGGCAGGCGGGCAGTCGCGTCCACACGCCGCCGCCATTCGAGTTGACAAAGTCGTCGTACAGGAAGTCTGGCAGGACCCGCACTCGCGACACTGGCACGGAGAGGCCATGCGCCTGGCAAACTGTGCAGAACTTGTCCTTGAAGTGCTTGCCGTTGGCCACGAAATTGGGGTTGCACCCGTGGCCGTTTGGCCCGGCAATCTCCACGCCCCAGCACCCGGACGGCATCTCGTCCTCTCCTCTCTCTGAGTCCTGGCCTGCACGGAATGCTGTGCAAAGGCCATCACGCTGAGCCTTGAGTGGCGCGGAGACTTGCTCCTTTTGCGGCATCGCCACCGGCTCGGTGTCGCCGATTGCTCTGATCGTTGCGCCGGAGTCCTCCTTGCAGCCTTTGTTAGCAGCTGCCTCCGCTGCCATAGAGTGGCCACTGAGCGGTGAGCTGCTGTGACTCTCCGACGCAGAGTTGAGGAGGTGAGCCGCGTCAGCGAGTGAGCAGCTTGGCAGTCCAGACCTCTCGATAGCACTTCCTGCAGCAGGACATTCGTCGGCCGGGGGCGGGCTGTGCGCTGTCATTGCAGCCTAGCCCGCTCAAGACTTCGGCGAGAGCAGCACGAGAGTTCTCAGTCGCCGTCGGTCGCACGTGGTGGCAGACTACGAGTTTGGACGGTTTTGGACTAGAAGTTTTGTGAATTTAGGCTGACGAATGCCTAAAGTGTCCCGCTGTTGCGGACCTTTTCGGATGAACCGGAAAGACTAATACTCAATCCCGTCCGCGCTGCACTGGCAGGCCCGGTGTTGACGGGGGCGACCGTTTGGAGAGAGGCTGAAATCCTTCAAATTTTCCGTCTTTGGCCCGGCGTGAATGAAAATTTTGAGCCCCAAAGGTAAGAGGAGTGAGAAGTGGGTAGGGTGGGGGGGGGGGGGGGTTGAAAGAGGGGGGAGGGGGTAAAGGAGGGGGGGGGGGACCTTGTTTGTTTTCAGTGTTGTGGCTCTTACTTACGAACATACCCGAGGGTGGACTGCTGACAGGGTTTGCGATGAGGAGCGATCCGAACGTGGTATTCGGGTGATCAGATCACTACCGCCGAAGCGCAAGCGCTTGGAGCAAGAGAGCTGCGACGTATCGGTCTCAGACTAGCACCCCACCTCGCGGGTCGATGTTCTGGCCCAGCGAGGCTGCTGCGGGGAGCACTCGCGGGCCGATTTTCTGGCCCAGCGAGGCCGTTGCGGGGCACCCGGCGGCTCGGTTCGCTCATCAGCGCAAACTCGGTCGAGCAGAAAGCAAGGTGTGTGAGTAAAGGCGGCGCGGCACGGTAAGGGTCGGCGGTAAGGTGGCGCGGCGGCAATAGACGGCAGGCAGGACATCGGATGGCGGGGTCAACGGCATTGTTGGTGCAGTATGTAGCTCTTTTCCCGGAGGAGAACTCTGCTGTTCAGTCAGTGTATCTTCTAGCTCTTACTATACGACCATTCCCGAGGCCGGGGAGGACTGCTGACAGGGTTTGCGATGAGGAGCGACTCCGAATTAGGGACATGTGTCCCCGCTGAGAGCGTTAAATAAATAAAACGGGGAACGAAACTCTGAGACGCGCTGACCGAGCGTGTGTGCAAAGAGTAGCAAGACTAAATTTCTAAAAAACGGGGATGCACAGGGGGCCAGCGCGCATGTAATGCTAATGGAGACCTGTTTCTTTTTACCCATCGCTCCTACTAAGAGGCGTCCATGTGTGATAACGATCGTATGACGTATGTGCGCCCCCTCTCTCGTCCCTCTCTCTCGACACGCCCGGGGGGCGCCGGCGCGCCGGCGCCGCGGCGGCGCGAAAATGGTTAATGGAACAAGGGGGCCCAAAATGTGCAGGCGACCCACGCGCCACCGGCTGGTGTTAAACCGCGCCTCTGCGCCGCGCGCCACGCCGAGATGGGCGAGTCTCTCCGAGACGAGAGCGTGTGCTCTTAACATATATAGTGCTAAACGATCATTAAAACGAAAAACGTCAATGGAGAAAACGCAAATGCACCATATGCAGGCCTGGGCATGGTCCGCGAGACACACGCCGGCGAGTGTGCGCGGTCGGTCGCACACACGCAGGCACACTCACACGCACATTTCGTCCAAGCCGCAAACGTAAACATGAGCAAAAGTGTTCAAGTGCGGGTTCAGTACAGTCTGGACGCGAGCGGCGCAGCGGAGAGGGGCCGGAGCGCAGCCGGCCAGCCGGAGGGCGGTGGCGACTGCAGAGGCTCCAGCGCTAGCCCATCCTCCTCCACTCGGCACTCAAGCGCTCGCTTGCAGCACGCATGGTCATCGGGGGGGGGCGCAGCATGGCTCCAGGTAAGGGCGGGGCGATCGGCGCGGCCGCTCTGGCGGCGCGCGAGCCGACGCGG